TGGAGCCCAGCCAGAGGTGGAAGGTCCCACAGCTGGATTCCATTAATCCCAGCAAAGCATCTTGGGTTAAGGGAACGTCTCTGTCCCGAGCTGTCCACTGTGCAGAGCAACACTCTTGATGGATATTTATTAATTCCCCTGGTCAATGTTACAGACCCATCAGAGATACTTCTAGGATGTTAAATGTATAGGAGTGCCACCCCACTCGCCCCTATCGTTGGAAGCTTGCCAGCATTTCCATCACAGCATCCTCAGTTCAGGGAGATATCACTCCTTTCCCTACAGAACAGTCTTTTATGGCTTTCAGTGCTGGCAGTAAAGCCTACAGCTGTTATTCTTGCAAAAGGACCGTGCTCAAGCCCAATGTGTGCTCCCAGTAAAAAGGAGCTAGTGAAATAGCAAGGCAGGGTCTCATTCAGATCAGAATCAGACAGCTGCTGAGGCAAAGCACGTTGGATGGCCAAGTATTTCCCAGTGGCTTTCCAGCACCGGACATGACTGCACAGCATGGTGGTGGGCCCAACACAATAGAGCATCAAGCCCTTTCTTGCTATGCAGCAGCTCTTCCACAAATGGAGGATGGTGCGAGAGACTGGATGAGATGGCCCAGGAGGCCCTTTCTGGACCCAAATTCCTCTGCTTTCCCTTGAAGGCAAGGCATTCCTATGGAGTGCTAGTACCACACCGATACGCACCCAGGCTGGGAGGTGGCTTGCCAGCAGTTATGAAATTGCAAACGTGGTGGCTGCGAGAAACCCGAAATACTGCTGGAATGGTTTCACAGACCATTGCTGTCTGCTTGCAGAGGACACTTATGAGCAAGCTATAAACTCTTGGAGAAGGCACTTAAAATTGCAGGACCACAAAAAAAAAAAAAAACTCTGAAAGAACTGAAGTGAGATGCAGTTAAGAAGCTACTTTTACTTTTTACGCTGGGCGAGAGGACTTAGTCCTTGCAGGCAGCAGCAGAAGAGTTTGCAGCTCAGTACAAGCCGAAAGCCCTGTGACCATCACTCTCTCCAAGCCCAGAGCATTGTGCAAGACTTACTTGTTGTGCAGCCAGATGATTTCGGGTTTCGGGTTGCCTTCTGCTCTGCAGGTGAAGTAAACAGTGTTCCCCAACATGACGTCGGCATCGTGGGGCTCCGAGGTAATGCGAGGGCTCTCTGAAAGATAGCATGGGAAGAAAGCCTGACTGAAGGCCAGGATGAAGGGCCAAAACTTGAGATGAATGGTCAGGAAGATGGCTTTACCATTTCAGTCTCTCTCAGCGCTCAAATCCCAGCCTCCCTTTCTAACACAAGTATCCCAACGTATGGTCATAAGCCTTGCCACTTCCAGGGGGTTTCCACTAGTTATCCCCCCGATTCAGCACATGCTGAATTTTAGAAGGAAGCTTTAGTTTTGCTGGAGTTAAAGCTACCCGAGTGAATGTTCAACAGGATCTCATGTCATTTCTACCAAGGAGCATTTTTATAATCTTTTCTCCTATGCCTGAAGAAGGGTGCTCATGCCCGAAAGCTAGCAATTAATTTTTCTTTTCTTTTCAAAAATCGAGTTGATTTAATAAAAGATATCACCTCTACCACAAGTTCCAATTCCTTTTGCTCAACAGCAATGTTTTCTAGCCTTTGAACAACAAGTTACTTAAGCACGTGCCCATGCATAGTTCCACTAAAACTAACAAGGCGCTCTCGTAGGCCCAAGTACCCTGCTGAATTGGAAGCCATCGCATCAGAACGAAAGGAAACATATTGATGGGTCAGGACTCTCAGGGCCTATTGCTTAGTTGTGGTGTCAGAGCATTTATTTAAGTTTGCAGCAAGTGTATGGTCCCGCTACCTAAAGAAACAATAACTGCAGTTCAAGTGATCTGAGTTCAGGTGCAGAGTCAAAGTATCTGGGAAACTGAAAGAGCCATAATGTACAGCTTCCGACTTTTGAAAGGAGAATAGAATAGAATATCTCTATAGAGATAGAGATATCTAGATATATATGGTTGTGTTCATTAATTTGGAGGGAAGAGGGGGCGGAACGGAGTTTCAGCAAAACCAAAACTATTTGCGAACTGGAGTCAAATCTGGCAAATAGTTTCAACAGAAAAAGAAAAGCAGCCATTTGAAAAGAGCCGCAGATGATTTCACTAGAACATTTTCAAGACGAAATCGTTTGTTTAGAAAATGCTGACCTATTTCGTGTTGACATTTTCTTATGATGAAACCAAAGAAAAGGTCAAACAAAAGGGTTAAGGAGCATAAAAAAAAAAAAACAAGTGTTAAGACTGAATTTTGAGTCAAACCAAATGATTTCTCTCCCCCCCACACACACACACACATTTTACCAAACACCTTAAAACATTTCTGGTTTGGGCTGTCCCAAATTTATTCCCCCCCCCCGATTTTCCAGCTTAGTCCCCTACCCAAAAATGGAATATGGTGCAAGAGACTGGACGTGATGGTTCAGGAGGGCCCTTCTGGACCTATAGTCCTCTGCTTTCCCTTTGAAGGCAAGGCGTTCCTGTGGAGTGCTAGTATTGCACCGACACGCACCCAGGATGGGAGGTGGCATGCTAGCAGTTAATAAATTGTAAATGTGGTGACTCTGAGAAACCTTAAAACACGGCTGAAATGGTTTCAGAGACCATTGCTGTCCACTTCTAGAGGATGCTTATGGGTGAGGCCCCTTCTGGACCCATCCTTCATCCAGCTCCATCTGTCTCATGGCCGCAGAAAAGCAGCATGAACCAAAAGGGTCCTGGGTTCTGGTTCTAGGTGCCCTCTTCCCTGCAAGTTACTTGGATCAAGTCACTTGACTTTGTTCAGTGTCTCTCTCTCTGCCGCAACGAGAGCAGATGGAAAGCAGATGGTTTCAGGTCTGTTCTCACTTATTGTAACGCAAGCCCTCCCACTTCAGCACTGAGCTTTGCAGGATGAATAGAGAAAGCAAGCAAAAGGTGCTCACCACAGTTCAATTCTTGAGTCGTCAGGGTGGTGATGGACCGGCCCTGAAGCTCCCGAGGGCTCTCGCACGTAGCCGCGGTTTGGATGTTGCCTTGCTCAGCATACTTCTTCAGCAGTTCAGCCAGCCACATCAAGTCACAATCACAGAGCAAAGCATTGGAGTCCAGCCGCCTAGAGAGACACAGGCCGCACGTGCAAGTAAATCTCCCATCCTCCTCCCCACATCTCAACCCTCTTTTCTAGCATGTAAAATCGTTTGCCTACACCTTGAAGGACCAGACTTTGAAAAAGGAGCCCAGAAGGAGGGTGATTTTCAGAAGTCCTCTCTGTCCCAAAGGTCTTTTATGTAAGGGCTTAACTGGGAGCTTTTGAACAGCTAGCCTTCAGTTTTTACCAGTGCTTCTCTGCCAACAATACACATCTAATTCAGCAATCGACGGCTGTGAATTTTTCCATCCGAGTAACTTCTCGCTGGAAAAATCAAAAATATTTCCGCTATGCAACATTGTGATTTTGTCACCCATCAGGACAACTGAAGTGGCTGGTCCAACCCAAGTGAAATATTGTTGTTTGTTGGAGTGATATAATACACTTTGTTTCCAGTCAATTGAACGTTAAACTATAGTAACAAAGCATTTCAATTTTGTTGGAAAATGGTTTCATCTAAAGGCTTCTCCCGCACCCTGCCAGCCAGCTCCAATTTAATCTTTTTGAGCTTAGTTCAGTACAAAAACAAAAAACACTGAAACATGAGAATTTCCCCCGAGATCCAAATTCCAATTTCTGTGCGGCTCTGCTCTGACCTGCAGACAGTAGAAATCCTGTTCTCACTCCCCCGGGGCCAGTTACTTTGAATTATACCCCGATTATTTGAATAAATGTTGTTGCCTAATATGTAGATATTTCATGTCGCTCCAAGCTAAAGCAAGCAGGTATGTTCCTGGCAGATACTAATATTTGGATCCACAATTTGTTTATGGGAACGTGAATGCAGGCACAAATTTTCTAGCGATATAATAACTTCCAATCACGGATTTTGCAAGCTCCCGTAGTGCTATGCGGAGATAATGCAGCAGCTTATAAATGCAAATCGATAGGGAAGGAGCAACCACAATCTGATTATCTGGTGGTTTGAGACTTCACCAAAAGCCACTGAAACCAGTGGAAAGAATATCTTTCCGTCTATTGTGTCTGGAGCTGCCCCTAATACCCAGCAGTTGCGAAGCACGTGCCAGCACGAGCAGAGAAGGAGGTTTTATTGCCCAGCCAACCTTTATGGAAAGGGAGGAACAGCATTTGAGCTCATCCTGTACTTTCTTCTCTGCAGATCTGGTTATTCATGCCAGTGCTAGATAAAGGGATTATATGCCCTGTTCCTGTTTGGGCTGTGGAAGAAAGCTTGAATTTCACATTTTAAAGGTCTTTTAAAAAAATCAACACCGTTCATTAAACACATGCACGATATTTCCTACAACCAATCGAACCATGTTTTGCAAATACCCAGCTCAACTCCTGTGCTAGAGTAAAATTTTTCCTCTCTCTCTCTCTCTCTTTTTTTTTTTTTTTTTTTAGAAAGACCAGCAGCAGCTTTTCCTGCTCGCAGCCAACGGAGAGGAGGCTACAGTGGGGAAACGTGATCCTCTCTCAGAGTTTGCAATCATGGCAGAACCCCAAAAATTCTTCGGCTTGCACTTTTGGTCCAAACTTATCACACAGCTCATTGCCAGAGATCATAAAAAGGACCAGGCTCAAAGCTCAGTAGGATTATTAAGTGAAATGAAGAGAGCCCTGGAGACGGCCAGGTTAAGTGAAAAATAACACATAGCAGAGCGTGTGTTTTGTTGCAAGAGAACCACGTGCTTTGGCTCTGTAGCAAGCATTTCAGTCTCCATAAAATAGATATTACAAAACTTCACTTCCTATCATTTTTCCTTCCATTGGGTGTATGGCCCTGAAGGAGCCTACAATGACTAGCAACACAAGTCATTCCTCTGACTTCACTGGACTTTGGATGAGGTCTCCATGGGCTCAAAGCCCTGCCAGGAGAGCAACATGTTCCAGGAGCATCTTGCAGGACCGAGCTCTAAGACGGTTGTATTTAGACCTTGACCTGCAGCAAGATACAGGACATACTTCAGGCATCTGAGACATCGCAATGCAGCAGGACTAGCTCATTAAGCCTGATTTTGCAGCAGGCCACAACTGTGCAGTGGTCATAGCAGTGGCCTCCAAACTGTGTTAACTCCAACCTCCCTTGGCCAGCCGTGCCGTTCCCAAGATCTGCACCATTTGATACAAGATAAACAATAGCTCTCTTTGCAGGCAGTGTTGTTCCCTTACAGGCGTTTGAGGGATTCCAGTTGAGAGAAGGATCCTGGCTGGATTTTGGAAATTCTGTTGTTGTGCAAGAATCTGTAATGAGAACATCAATGCCAAAGCATTACTCAGTCTTTACCCTATACAGACAATAACATCCTAGGTCAAGGCTCAGCTGAATTATTGTTGAGATTGGTCACCAGAACCCAGCTGAAGGGCTGAGGTTACGGCATGCGTGTGATAATTCAACGGTTGCTGGGGGCCAGTGTGGGTGTTGTTAATTTGCTAGTGAACCCAGTGGAATATGCAATAACAAGGATGGGGTGGGTAGTGGAAAGGGCAACTCAGGGTTTGAAACAACTGAGCCAAATCACGTCACAATCTGAGAAAGGAAAGGGGGTCAAATGCCTCCGGGCTACACCCATCCCTTCAGTTTTGGTTGCGGGTCACTCGGCGCAACCAACTCTCAACCCAAATCCTCCCACTAGGGTTGACGTGCACTTGAACCCAAGACCTACTGCAGATCTAATAAAAACCCAAACATCATCTCTTTGACTGATTTCTAGATTTAAAAAAAGTCAAGGCAAAATTCTCAGCTCCAGGCTCCCAGCACATAAGTCAAGACTCTTACTTCATCATCCAAGAAACGAAGAGCAGGAAATTAATTATTTGAATGCTCATGAGTGGGAATAATGAGCTTTCTATTCCTCTCTTGGGAGCTGTTATAGGGCCATGATAGATATTTGGGAGTAACTGCATTAAATAATGGAGAAAGGAAAGGAATGCAGGACCAGTATGGCATGTGGATGTGCAACAGGATGAACTGACATCCAGCCTACCTTACAGTTTGGGTCTGGACAAAGCTCCCCTGATATGCAGATCCAGGATTTTGGTTCACTCAATTACAGAGATAAAAATTAGCCACAATGTCTGCACCCAGGTCTGGATTTTCCTACAGTTCAGAGTGTGTTTAATTGCCTTCTTCCCTCCCTACCTTGATCTCTTTTGGTGCAATATGGATATACGGTCTATTTGTGGATGGCATGGACCTGGCTTATTGATTTCAACACAGAGCATAAAGCTGCACCCGAACTGGCTGCAGCATGATTGCTTTGAGGTACACTGGGGAGTGGGACAGGAAAAGGATTGATGCCTCTAGCCCAAGGAATGAAACATGTTTTTCTTGTTATCCTTTTCTCCAATTACATTTTCTCCCCTTCTTTTCATGCAAGCTGCCCAAGAGTGACTAATCATAACCTGCAGGCCAGCATAAAAGAACAGCATCCTGATAATACTTGGCTGACACAGGACTGTCTATGGACTTACACCTTCCTACACAAGAGGATGCGCAGAACCAGGATATCTTTCCATCCCATATCATCCTGCTAACCTTTCTGCCCAGCAGGCACCTAAAGTCTCTTCATTTGGAGAAACTCCTTCCCAGCTCTACATTGCAGTTCAAGATGGAGCTTTGCTCCATGCAGCTGAAGCAGGATGTGAAGCCCAAAATCAAAGCTACGGAAACCCCCCTGCCCATCAGCTAAGGTGCATCTCATCCAATGGCCAAAAATCAAGAGAAGCAATGAGTACCTTTAGCAAGAAATGCCTATGTCGCCTCTACTTACAGTCGCTCCAGTTTGGGCAGGTCACTAAACGTCTCTGGTTCCAAGGTTTCCAGGTTGTTGAAATGGAGGTAGCTGTCACAAAAAGAAAAGCACAAGGGTGGTGTTATATGGCAATTGTTTAAGAGTATAAATTGCAGTGTTCACCCCTCAGCCACCGCACAGGTAGGACAGGTTCTCAGAAGACAACCTTGGCTTTTGTCGTTGCAATTTGCTTTGGAAAAAAATGGTAACCCCATATTCGAAAGGCTTGGCCCTTTCCATCCCTTCCAAGAAACTTTGGTGAATTATTCATCCCCCTTCCCTAATAGCCTAAGAAATACACAGGAGGTCAGATTTGCAAAGCTCTCCCCTCAGTCCTAGTACCTTCACTATCACCGCCAACTCACCGTACCCTTAGCTGCAGGAAGAGACCATGCTAATCTGTGTTTCAATGGAGTTGTCTGCATCTGTCCTCAGCTTAGCTGGTGATTGGAAGAGTAGTCAGCTTCCCCGCTTCCTTCCTACTGCCTACAGCATCCCCAACCATCTCTAAGCAACCCCGGAGATGCCGAGCAAGGAGCTTCCCAGTAGAGTGATGGTCTGATAGCCCCAGTCTGTGAAAATATAGTTGCTTGGGCTAATATTTTTGGTTCTGCTGCAACATCGTGTCCACCAATTTATCATGTAGTACAGGGTTGCAGTAGACCCTTCTCTACACTCCCATATCACAGACAATGAGATGCTCAAGAGCACCATGAGATATTCGCACCTCTCTCTAACTGGTGCATCAACTCACATCATGGACATTGCTTTGATTTTCAGCTAAGTCCTTCTCACAGCTTCAAGGTTTAAGAGCACCTTCCCTTTATATGATGCCATGGGGATTTCCCGGATCAGTCTGAGGTTTGCAAGCATATGTTCTTCCCAGGTGCATCCAATGGGTCTTTGAAATAAAAGGTCTCAGTAGGTGGCTGTTTCATTTGTAAAGGAACGGTTTGCTATACGGGGTTGGTTATTAGAAAGAAAACTAAAGCAGCGTGACTCAATCCACGGCTGGGGGATTGTGTGTACGGAGGGAGGGAATATGAAGCCAGGCTCGAGTGTTTTAATAGGTCTCAGATGTGAGCCATCATGGCTTTGGACTTTGAGGAAAGCATCTGATACTGTCCATCAATCAGGCTCTACTTTTACTTGAGAAGTTGGCTTCTCTAGAAGATTGGAGCAAGGCTAATTTCCTCTTCATCCCTCTGATACCAAGTCTGGTTTGTTCATTGTTCAAATGTCACTGTGGCCAGAACGGTGCATCTCTGCGAACCGCCCCTCTCCATGCAGCATAAGCAGCACCCACTCCAGCGGTTTCTGTCTTCGCTTAGTTTGTTGGGAAGGAAAGCATATTTTAGACAGGGCTCAATAGCACACCTATTATTAAGACTGTTGAAATTTCCTCTTGTAACTATATTTACTTACTACTGTCAGCCACAGAGACCAAGCTGGAACCTATTTTTCCTTGCACTGCTAAATAACCAGTTACCTTCCAACTCTATAACCTTTGAGAGCGGTAGCGACATGAGAGCTAGAAAGGACTCCCCACTTTGGCTCATATTCTCTATCTTGGGCACGTGCTTTCTGAATTCCTAGCTTAATCCTCACACTCACGCTCATATATCTACCTATCCACCCACCAGGGATTACAGCCCCTGGATAGCAGCAAACCTATAGCCCAGTTTTGAGAATGCTTTGGAAGACCTCAACCCTAATTTGTCTTTTGAGTTTGAAGTGCCGATAATTGGAAACCCACATCATTTGTGCAGAGAAACAATTCAGATTTCCTAGGGATGCAGTAGGAATGCTGTTATGGGAAGTTAAAGTGTCATCCAGGTGCGAAACAGAATGCAATGCTCCTTTCTTCACAGATGCAGCTTGGTAGCAAGGCCTTGGCTTTGGTGGAGAACCTTACCCACACAGCTGGGGTTTTAATTTGTAGATGCACCCAAATGTTGATGGTTGCCATAAATACTTGGAGCTGTCCAACTTGCACTATAGTCCAATTGTCACCAAAGGGCACCCTGGCTTGGATAAAAGAGAAGCAGATCCTTCATCCAAAATGCAAGCTAAAGGCTACATTATGGGGCTTGCTCCAATGACACAAAGCAGTTGCAATGCCAGAGGGTCTAGAGCTCCCCCTGGTTAATGCTACTCTAGAAACTCTCTCTCTTCTCCCATCACTTTCCAGAACAAAGCTAAATGCCTGTGGAGGATGGAAAGG